ATGAATGGAAGACTGCGTTTCGAACCAGGTACGGACATTTTGAATATAATGTCATGCTTTTTGGACTCATGAATGTACCAGCTGCTTTTCAACATCTCATGAATGATGTATTTCATGAATTCTTAGATAATTTTGTCGTCTGATACCTAGACGATATCCTGATCTATTCTAAGAACGTCGAAGAACATGAAATACATGTTCGTCAAGTATTACAAAAACTTAGAGATGCAAGATTGTACGCTAAGATAGAAAAGTGTGTATTTCACACTACTCAAGTTGACTTTTTAGGATACATCATTTCAAATGATGGTCTCATGATGGATTCTAAGAAAGTCCAGACAATCATGGATTGGAAGATTCCATGGACAGTAAGAGATGTCCAATGTTTCTTGGGATTTGCCAATTACTATCGGATCTTCATCAAAGACTTTTCATGAGTTACAGCTCCACTTACACGCTTGACCAATAAAGACAAATTCCAATGGAATCAAGAAGCGGAAGCAGCATTTGAAGCCTTGAAGACATCGTTTGTATCTGCATCAGTCTTATATCGTGTTGACTTTTCCAAGGCATTTTTTATGGAAATAGACGCATTAGATTTTGCCTTGGGTGCAGTTTTGTCACAAATAGGAACAGATGACAAACTTCATCCGATAGCTTTTCATTCAAGAAAATTCTCTGCAGCCGAGATCAATTATGAAATCCACGATAAAGAACTACTTGCAATCGTGGATTCCTTTCAAGAATAGCGTCATTATCTAGAAGGCACTTCTAGTCCAGTCACTGTGTATACAGATCACAAGAACCTCGAGTATTTCATGTCAGCACGCGTGTTGAATCGTCATCAAGCTCGTTGGAGTATGTCTTTGTCAAGATTCGAGTTCATTATCACTTATCGGCCAGAAAAACAACAAGGTTTGTCCGATGCATTGTCTAGACGTTCTTATTTTACACTAAAAGAAGGAGATGCAGCTTTTGAGCAACAAAGAATGGTCCTCTTGAAACCGGAGCAATTTCATCTCCGAGCAATGAAATCAACATTGACTGTTGATTCAACTTTTCTCAAGCAAATCCAGTCCAGTATGTCCTCAGACCCTCTTGTTCATGATATTGAGAATAATTCTTCTAAGTCTAATGATTCTTCTAAGTTCGAGTTCAAGAATAATCTATTATATTTTGAAGGATGCCTATATGTTCCAGAAGGAGAAGCACGTTTACGTGTTCTTCAAGCACGTCATGATTTTCCAAGAGCAGGACACTTTGGATATAATAAGACTTTAGAACTCATATCAAGAGATTTTTGGTGGCCACAAATGTGGAAGTCAGTCAAAGACTTTGTACAATCATGTGATATTTGTTCAAGATCAAAAACTCCTCATCATCGACCTTACGGACTTCTTCAGCCATTACCTATACCAGAACAACCATGGTATCCTGTTTCTATGGATTTCATCACAGATCTTCCAAGCTCAAGATCTTATGATTCTATATTTGTGATAGTAGATCGTTTCACCAACATGGCACATTTTGTGCCATGTACAAAATCTATCACAGGTGAAGAAACAGCTAAGCTTTTCATTGATAATATCTATCGCTATCATGGATTACCTAAAGATATCATATCGGATAGGGGAATTCAATTTGTGTCGAGATTCTGGAGGATCCTTTTCAAGATTTTAAAATTGGACATAAAGCTATCTTCGGCTTTCCATCCTCAAACTGATGGATAAACAGAGCGCGTAAACCAAGTCTTGGAGCAGTATTTAAGGTGTACCATCAACTACCAACAAGATGATTGGACAACACTTCTACCATTGGCAGAGTTTGCTTATAATAATACGGTACATTCTTCCATGCAACAAACACCTTTCTTTGCCAATTATGGCTATCATCCATGACTTGATGCTTTTGATTTTTTCAAAAGTTCATAATCCTGCAGCAGAAGATGTGGCAAATCTGTTGTCAGAGTTACATGCAATAATGAAGGCACAATTGAAGGAAGCTCAAGAACGACAAAAGATAAACGCAGATGTATATCGTAAGGAGCAACCACAACTCAACGTGGGTGATAAGGTATGGCTACTTCGTCGTAATATCAAGACCACTCGTCCTTGCGACAAGTTGGACTATCGAAGGCTGGGACCATTTTCTATTTCTGCACAAATCAATCCAGTTGCATATCGTTTACATCTACCGAAGATAATGAAAATCCATCCAGTATTCTACGTGTCTCTTCTTGAACCATACAAGACAGTGGACATACCAAGAAGACGACAAGCTCCACCTCCTCCTATAGAAGTGGACAATAATGAAGAGTTTGAAGTAGAAGAAGTCTTAGATTCAAGGCGGCGTCGAAATAAAATAGAATATCTTGTCCATTGGCATGGATATGATATAAGTGAACGCACATGGGAGCCAATGAAGAATCTTGCAAATGCAACAAAGGCGGTGGAAGCTTTTCATCGACGACATCCATCAAAATCAAGATGAAAATCTTCTTTGTAAAAGAAACAACATCTAGGCAAGATAACATTCTACTTTCAATTCTTGTTCGTAGCTTCGTTGTAGTAGTGGCGCTCAGGAGATGGAGAACCAACAACCAGCGGATTCAACCCAAGAGCCTTCATTTGCTGACCTGTCGGACGAGACATTACGATTGTCACAACCTTCAAGACGACGCAATCGAGATGAAGATCTTCAAGAACGACATGTTTTTCCTAGAATAGATGGTGAGATACAACGCGTTTGGTATCACGATTTGGGAAGGGACTCCCGATGTTTGGTGATTTTACTAGAGGTAGGAACAACTCCTGATGGTGTTCCAAATATTCTATTCGAAGGAAGTTACGAAGGCCTCAACAATGATCAAATAACTAGGTGGTCTTCCCGCCCTGGTATGAGACACTACCGATGGTTGAGAGGCCCTATCAATCATCTTCGAAGAGAACAGAGATCAGAGTATGTGGCGAATACAATTCGTCGCATCATAGATTTCCTCAACATATGATGACCGCTCCTCGTGGAACTCGTCCCTAGAAGGGGGGGTAATGTCACGGCCATAATCATGTAAGCTAATAATTACATATAGAAATAGATAGAAGTAAGTAAATGTAGGTAAAAGTAAGTTAATTCTATAATATTTAATATAGAAGCTTCCTAGAAATTTCCTAAACGCTGCTTTGACTTCATAGGTGTCTTTAATTGACTTTTTGGATTAGAAACGTGGTCAACAAGTTGGCCATGTGCCACACATGTTGTTAGCTTGAAGATCAAGCTAACTATGTGGCCCACACTTAGAAAAACTTGCCTTGTAAGTCAAGGCATGTGCCCTACAAAGTCAACACATATTGGAGGTCCTATAGAACGTCACCACATAGCCCCTAGTTAGAGAGTATATATAGAGACAAGAGTGAAGGCTTCTTCATTCTTGTCAACTCCTTTCTTGCTTCTAGTCTGTTTCAAGGGTCTCTAATTTTCTTTTGGCAATAGCCATTCCAGTTTCTCTTTCAATATATATACTTGTTTATATATATTTTGTTACCTCTCTTTGAGTGAATGCTCACTTCTTTGAATTGTTTTTTCATCGAGTTCTTATCCTTGACAGAATGGAACATTATCAATGGTTGAGAGGATCTATTAATTACTTTTAAAGACAAGAAAAATTAAAATATATAGTAAATATAATTTATTGCATATTAAACTTCCATGAGCATTCATTAATATCATATCTATATCAATAAATTAAATTTCATCAATATGTAATCACTACTCCTTATAAAACTTGTTCTAAAAAAGAATAATGTCACAAACATATATATTTATATTAATAATTATTTATATAATATGAATAGATAGAAATAGGTAAAAACTTCTTAGAAGCTTCATAAACACAATTTCTCCTTTATACATGTCTATAGGTGATTGGTAGGTTGAACACTTGGCCATCAAAACAACCATGTGTTCTATATATCAATAGCATGTGATATAAGTTAACCATGTGGTACACATATAGAAAACTTGCCTTACACGTTAAGACATGTGTTTTGCAAATTGGACTTGTATCTGAAATCCTATAGAATGTCATCACATAACTTGTAGTTAGATAGTATATATGGAGGCAAGAGTGAAGCATTCTTCATTATTATCAACTCTTTTCTTGCTTCTAATTTAGTTTCAAAGGTCTTTAATTTTTTTTGTCTTTTGACAAAAGCCATTTGAAATTCTTTTTAATATACGCATTTACTTATTTCTTTTTTGTCATCTTTCTTTGAGAAAAGTCTCACTTATTTATTTGCATTCTTCAAGTTCTTATCTTTAACATCCCAAACCCAACTTCTATTTAAGGTGGTTGTTTACCTCTCTTGTGGGAGTAAATTTGCAATGAGGGCTAATCTTCACAAACTATCATAACACAGATTTGAAAACAGTGAGGGAGAGAGCTGTGTCTACACTATGCTACTATGGAGCAATGTATACCGCCACCATGCTTGCTGGTGCGCCAAAACAACATCGCCAAAGCGCCTCTCCCTCACACCGTCATTCTTGGAACTCCTTCCTCCTCATTTTCCGGTTTGTGATCCTTCAGGGCTTTCTTTTCCAGACTTGCATGCAGCCTGTAGGTACTCCCATCGGCCTACTAGTTATGTTTTCAAAGCTCTTGTAATTAGACCAAGTGTATCACTAATCAACATCACCGAGAGTGATTTCATAGTCATCAGTGCCCCCACATTGGAAAAAAGGAGTAAAGAGTGTTACTATTGGAAGCCGGCATTGGACTCAGTTGTCGAAAACTAGCACTGTCATGAAAGTCCACTGCAGTAAAACCTGCTCCTGTTGTGTTGAAAGAGTGCATTTCGAAGTTGCCATTATCTTCATCTTTTCATAAGCTAAGCATCTGGTTTGTGAATAAAATAAAATAAAAAACAAATTTCCCAGCCGGCCGTTGCCCCTACATCTATCATCTAGATGCCCCTATATGTAGGATCCGACAGCCTGATCTCGCCATCTTTGTTTACACAGGATGGTTCTTGCCTGGATGGTTTTTCTGGAAACAGGATGTACGCAAGGCACAGCACGTACTCGGAAGCTTTACTAGCTCCAGTGGTTTCACAGCCCAGATGAGCTCGACGAGTGAAATAATCTGGACCGTGAGTAGATCTTGTTAGTCCATATGGCAGACAATTTTCCGATTTGGTGATGGCGACCATTTTAGATCGTATTCGCACGACGATAGAATTGATGGTCCAACGACTCTCCTCTAAAAACATCGGCCAGGAATTGCGAATCGCCTCTCGGCAGTGCCGACTTCTTGCGACGAAGGCTAACGGAACGCTGCACATAGTAGACGAATTTTCGAATGTTCTGCGTGACGCAGAAAACCAGAGAATTGAAATCCTGCCATGGGAACCAGCTGCTGTGGAGCTGCATGGGTTGCTGAAAGATGCCGAGAGGCTCATCGATATGTGCTGCTGCGGTGACGAATGGCTGAAAGTCGCCATCGATCGAGGCAATTTGAAACTAACCTTCGGTAAACTTCTTTACGATATAGAATGGCACGAATCGGTGCTGTGTAGTTCCCTCGTATTAGAGAAGAACGCTTTTGTGCAGAGGTTTTGCGACGGAAATCTCACTTTCGCGGACAATTTCAAATTGTTAGCAGCGTCAAAGAAAGATTTCCAATCTCTGCTGGACCTTCTCAGACGCTCCCATGTTTGTGACGAGGTGTGTGAGCCCGGCACCGATGGAGGATGCCTGGCCCGGAAGCTTCTAAAGAAAATGGAAGAGGAGGAGATCCGAGTGGTGGTTAGGAGAGAGACATTGCCATTACAGTCGCCTCTCTTACTATGGGTGAACTCCCAGCAACTTCCCAAAGGAAAAGCACTGGGAAGGGGCTCTTTTGCCAAAGTGCGAAAAACAACATGGCTGGGGCTCGAGTATGCGAAGAAGGTGTTCAATAGTGGTTCTGTCCACCAAGTTATTTTCAAGCAGGAAGTCACTGTTATGGCTGGACTAGACCATCCCAATGTCCTCCGAATCGTGTGTTGCTTTGCGGATAGTGAGCTGGGGATCGTCATGGAGCTCATGCACAAGAGCCTTTTCGACGTTTTAAATGATTTTCGGAATAAAAAATATGCTCCTGGGGCGGTCACTCCATTTTCAATCACACAAGCGGTTGACCTGATGCTGCAGCTTGCTGAAGGCGTGAGATACCTTCACAGCAAGCACCTGGCTCACCGTGACATCAAGTCGGGCAATGTTCTTCTACAATTCGCGGACCCTAAACACGGAACGACAGAACCATGGAGCAATGGTAACACCTGTCCCTTCATTGCAAAGGTGGCAGACTTTGGGTTGACAAAGATTAAGAACACTAGCACGCACAGGGGTCATCAAACACTTATGACAGGCACTAGGCCTTGGATGGCTCCAGAGGCTTACAAGTATGAATGGACAGATGAACCCACACCGTCCTCTCGCTACCACCCCATGAAACTCGATGTTTATGGATTTGGAATTATGTGCTGCGAAATATTGTCAGGGGAGGAGCCATACCAGAAATTACCGTCGTATGCTGCTGTAAAGGCCGGAGAGAGGCCGAAGTTGCCTGATTACATCCCCGAGCGATTGGCAGCTCTGATCCAACTCTGCTGGCACGGAAACCCTAGGATGCGCCCGGTATTCACCACAATCTGCACAGAGCTCCGTTTCATTAAAGGTCTTCTCTTGCGAGGTATGGCCTTTACTCACAATATGTTTTGATTTCATAAAAATCTTCAATTACAGTGCCCATTTTTCGCACAAGGAAGTAGAGCACATGAATGGGTCAATTTGGAGAGTCATGTTGTGAAACATTGGGCTGCTCAACTACCATACTTCCCTAGGTGTAACCAGGCGGAGTTGTCTCATTCCGCCGATCGAAGAATATAGGAGCAGGTAAGTGATACGGCAGCGTCAGTCCTGATTATGTGGAGCCTACCATTTCAAATGGTGGGCTGAATGTCGAAGATTTTTCTGAATGAGTCATTGCTCCAGTTATGACGTTCGTGTTTTGCGGTCTGTTGTATGGGTAATCATCAATTGGGGTTTTGGCAGGTGATCAGGAGGCATTACGGAACATTGCCATTGATGTTGGAGGGGCTTCTATGAATATTGGAGATGAGGTCAAGGTAAGTCACCCTTACGAGCTGATAGATGAATACGAGATATGCACAATTTCTGAAGAGCTGTTCAGTAAACTCTGCAATGAAAGATTTTTTGTTCAGCACATGACCCATACCAGAAGTGACGTAGAATTCATATTGATTCTCAATCCGAGGATTAGACCTTGCTTTAATGAGCTGCATAAACCCCGGTTTGTATTCTACAGGTGCGGGGGCCTTGGGGAGGCGGTGGGGGATCTCCTTTCTTTGACGGTGTGGTTACCTCCATAAAAAGCATATCAGTGTGGTATATGAAAAATCCAATGGCTTGCATCAGCTGCGTTGAGATAGAGTACGAAGTGAACGAACGCTCCTTTTTCGTTACCCATGGGAAAGGCATACGAGGTTCAAAATATGCTCAGGTAAGGGCCATGAACTAAACCTTGCAGTATGGCTGTTTGGTAGTTTCTCCTTTGTGCTAGGTTACAGTTCGTGCTCAGGGCGTAGAAAAGTTCAACGCAATAGAGGATCTAGCTGCGCAGTCTCGCTGAATGTCCTGCTTGCCACTAACTAAACTATTCTACACATTGGAGACAGGTCAAGATCGATGAGCCCAATGAGTACGTGATAGAGATCGAAGGATCGTATGGGGTAACAGCAGCAGTGACTGTCGGAAACGCCGAAGTGGTGAGCATTTTGTCTTTGGCTATACGAACAAATCTGACCAAGTATGGACCTTTTGGAGGATCTGGCGGGACGCAGTTCAGTAGCGGCGAAGGCAAGGTTGTGGGAGTCTTTGGAAGGTCTGACATGATAATAGACCAGATTGGGTTCTTCACCGTGGCGCCTGAAGCGATGTAAGGATCCTTGTTATTAAAATTTTAGTTCTTTTATTTTTGTAGCAAACTGATTGGGAACGTGTAAGGTTAGAAAGGTGATGTTTTTCTGGTTGGAGGTACAAATGATCAAAAAATTTAGGGGTTTGTTCAATGAGAATTACATGAGTATGTTTGTTAGTTGTTAAATATTGCATATAAAGTTAATATGTATAGATACATGGTTGCAATAACCTATAACATATTCATATGGTGGATCAAAATGATTATCTTTTAATTTATTGAATTTTTGGCTATACAAATATCAAAGATGTAAATGTAGATATAATCATCTAATTATTTTTATTATAATTAAAATAATAATACTAATCATAAGTATGTATGTTTATAAAAATACATAAGTTGAAACTCTTTAAAATGATAATGGTTAAGTATTAAAAAAACAAAAAAAAACTTAAATTAAGATTAGAACATAAAAATATTTGGCAAAATTTTTTAAAAAATTAATCTCGATTTTTTTATAAATATTAGATAATAATAAGATCACATAGAAACTTCTTAACAATCACATAGCTTGTATGTAGCATATTAAAGTTGCAAATGTTTCAAAAGTTTTTTTAAAAATATTATAATTATATAACATATGTATGATTAAAGCTATAAGTACATTTTAAGTTGCTACATATATACCTCATATTGCTATATGCACATCCAAAAAACATAGAGGTTTATGATTAAGTATGTCATTTTATGTAAATCTTGTTACTTGATACAACTATAAGAGAGTTTGAAGAAGCAGCAACCCTCTTTTTAATGGTTCTGCTAACCAATTAGTAGGCAAAGTCAAGGAATAGCACCCTTTGTAAAGGCCTTCATGGGCAAAGCTTTTAGAAGAAATTTTGAAAGTTACATCTTGTATCACCAATTTTGTTTGTCAATCTTCATTGCACTGCATTATACCACATTGCACCATACTACACTATATTAGTCACATTTTTTGTTGACTTTTACTGCAATATATCTTTTGTTGATTTTTATTGCATCACACTATACCACATTATACCACATCATACCACATTATACCACATCATACCACATTGTATTACATTGTAGCTATGCACTTGAAGTAATATGTGAATGGCACCAAAGAAATTGGATCCATCGTTGAAATCTTATTTGAGTTGCTTATGCAACTCAATTTGTCATGTTATTGCTTATCCATATTATAGGCACTTATAATTTGTTTGCCAAAATCCAACATCATTGCATGCACCATAAGAGATTGTCAATACTTTGCATCGGAAGTACTTAAATCGAGATAGATCTCTTCTTGTGTCATTTCTTTATGGCAAATGCTACCTTGTCTGTATCATCTTTAGTTCAATAATAGGTTGTGGCTATTGCTGTGATATAGTTTGGGATTTTGTAAGTGCAAATATTTATTGATGTAGTAGAAGGCTATTGATAGTTACTAAAATATATTCTATTCTGTTGGATAAGAAACTAAGCCCATTCTCAATAATAATAGAACTACAACTATCTTTGATAAGTACCAATAGTAGTCAAAGTTCTTGAGATTAAAGCTTTGATTTTCATATATCATAGGTCTAATTAGATGTGAGTATGGTAGACCAAGAGTTGTATTGAAAGTTCCTTTGTAGAGCTCAATATCACCTACAATAGACAAATGTGCAAATTTAACTTGTTTGTAGACATTCTTCAACGTATAATGACAAATTAGTTGGTTGATACTTTAAAAGATTTCACCACAAGGAATTAGATTAACAAATGTTAAGATGTACATCTTTTCAAGAAAAAGTTGTGCTACATATTTCTTGAGCATATTCTTGTTGCAAACTCCATATAATGGCATATGCCAAGTAAATCAAATTTGTTTAATCTAAGATGTTGCTTGAGCATGTAGAATATGCCTTCTATTGCAAAGATTTTAGAGTTGCTAAAGTGACAAGTTGTATTTGTCTAAGTAGCAAAAAATATCTTCTTGTGCATATTAATCCATGTATTTTTGATATATATAATTACTTTTTAAAAATTGACATTCTAGTTCCATAAAAAAGTGCTCTATTGTACTTTAAACTTATCTTTGGAATATGCAAATACCACTAAGTTTTAGCCTTGTAAAAACTCTTACCATTACTTATTTGTAAAGGCTTGCTTATAATTTTTTACAACATTCTTGTCAATATTCCAAAGACATAGAAGAATGATTGTAGTTTTATCTTAAGATTTATTTGTTTACATTGATTTCACAACTTTCAATAGCTTTTTTATAGTGGTACTTGTCTTTATGGCCTTCAAGAAGTTGGATCTTATTAGATTATACTTGAATAGATTAAATAATTATTTATTAAGATACATTTGCCTAACACCTTTATTATGGATTATAAATTAGCTCTAATTAATGTAATCAAAGAAATATTTTTATGTCTTTGGCATAATCTACAATCATTCTTCTATGCTATGAGTAAGTTATGATATTATGTCCCATTGACTTGTAGTTGTTGCAAAAGTGCCTCTTTGTTCTTGCTTCTATAGTTTCAAAGTGTAGTGTAGATCATTCTATTGATGTTTTTGCATGCATGTTATTTTTGGTTCTATTTCTTATTTCTTGTGATTTTCTCTTTGAGCAATTCACTCTCAAATTTTTCAATTGCATAATTATTATTGAAAGCCCAACCAATCTTTCATATAGATTTTCTTATTGATAAATAAATAAAACATCAAAAGTTTGACTAATAATAACATAAAGTAGAGATAAACTTTTAGAAGAGAATGGAACTATAGGTGGTATTGGAATAAATTGATTAAGAGTATTTTCTAAAGAGTATTAATGATAAAAATCACTAATTGATAAAACATCTCTTCTTCTCAATAAAATTAGTATTTGATACTTATATGGTAGACTTAATGTGTTTATTATTGTCTTTATGCACAAAAAATTGTCTCTATCATTTTTTACTCTTGCTTGTTTATATTGCTCAAAGAAAAGTTTAAAAGAATGTAAAGATACATCTTTCATAATATTGGTGAAGAAACCAATATTGTATTGATTAGCAATATGAATTTATTGTAAAATTTCTTGAGCACTTTAATTCTTTTATTGTATTCTTAAAAAAGTGAGAGAGAAATTTGAACTTTTCTAAAGTCTTTTGTAGAGACTTTTAAGTAGGATTTTAATGCTAAATATTAACCCTCTACTGGAGATGTAGTAATAATTCTGAGGTAAAGTAGATTATTTTTCCAAGTTTTAACAAATCTCTTCTTATAAAGATATCTTAGTATTCTTTAAGTACTCAATAGTTACATGAGCAATAGTAGGAATATATGTGTTACAAAGATTAGTCCAATCCAAATCAAAAAGCTGTATAGAACATGTACTAATCACAATGGTCTAATCTATAAGAAATGAAGACTATTCTAACTCTACTTTATTTGAAAAGTATTTTTTTGTAATTTTCTAACATATTTTTTTTTATGTACCAAATATAAAAAATAAATTTAAAGTAGGAAATATTAATTCAATGGCATTTATTAATGCTAAATTCTTATTAACATATATACAAATGGATCAAAGTTCTCCATACACTTCTTGAAGTTGATCTAATGTTCAACAAAAGAAGGATTATGTTTCTTCTTGGAGAAAAGAAACACCAATAATAAATAAAATATTAAAACTTTTCATCTTTATAATATGTAATATTGACATTCTAAATCTATATATTTTCTATGTACAATCCATGAAAATGGAAAAATAATTCTTTTTTGCAAGTTGAATAAAGTCGAAATGAGAAAAAAAATAATCAAGTAATTTAATCTTCTTCATCACTATGATAAGTAAAATGGTAAATAGCTCCGTGTAAAGTTTTCATAAGACATATAATAGGTGATTGTCCAACAAGTGCAATGCAACATAATTTTTGTGGTTCATTATAAATAATATGAGCAATGACTTTATTATTAGTATCACTCTTATATAAGGCAACAACAACATTTTTTGGTGGGATGCATACACCTAGCAATTGTGAAGTTAGTTCTTTTCTAGCTAGTTGCAAATCCCAAATAAATAGATGGCTTAAAAGAAAAGAAATAGATCCATGGTTATAAAAAGCATTTTGAACAATGAAATGCTATTGAGTACTATTATACAAATGACAAGCATGCAATACAAATAGACATTTTTTTAGATGACTTGTAGTATTTTATTTGTGAGTGTGACAATTTTAATCACAGTAAACTTCTTGTCACGATGTTGAAGTAGAGAGAGTTTGCCTCAAGAAAGCACTAGACTTTTGGCTGCCAATAAATATTCAATTAAGTCTAAGATATAAAAATATCAAATTTATATGTATAATATATTCTCTTTTATGGCAATTACATCAATACATAAGCCCAAGTACTAAAAAAGAAACACCCAAATGTATGATAAAGTATCTTAAAACCATATATATCCTTATGAAAAATATTTTCCAAACTTCAACAGTTCATATCTCATGATTAAACTATCCAAATAATCTTAAATTTTACATAAAGTACTGATATACTTTAAAAAACTACCACAAAAAATTCAACTACAAATTCGTTATGGATCTTGAGATATCACCAAAACCCTAATAGTAGCTTAAAATCCTAGCTTATATACATCTACGTGCTATTTTCTTCAAATTTCACAAAATAAGTACTCAAATACCATGAAATTTTAATTTATAGCTTTTTAACTTAATAACTCACACTTATGAAAAGTTTGAGCTATAATTTCGTCGAGAAATCCAAGATATGGCTCCAACCATTACTATCAACAAAATGACTCACTTATTGCCTTTGAATTACATGTGTTGTCTTCAATGCCCTATAACTCCTTCATCAAGATTTAGAATTCATCAAATCATATATGTAAAGTATAGCCAAGAAAGTGTTCTCTGCAATTCCAGTCACCGATCTTTCATTGCTCTCTCTACGCATATGTTATGCTTCAAAGAGTGACAGTAGGTACAAATTTGACACCTTAACTTTGAACACTTATATCTCTTTTATAAAAACTAGAAATCATACAAATTCTTCATCCAAATTATACCCAAAACCCTGAACTTGCTGAACTTAGCCTTCAAAGCTCAAATGCCTTCAAAAAAAAAACCCTAATCTCTAATATGGCCTCGGCTAGCCTGCTTGAAGCCGATTGGGCATGACCTTCGACCAATAGGAATGAAGTTTTCCATTCCTTGCCTTCATC